TTTTTTTTTTTTTTTTTTTTTTTTTTTTTTTTTTTTTTTTTTTTTTTTTTTTTTTTTTTTGAAGACAACACCAATAGAATTGAAAAGCTACTTGGTAAACATTTCTTTGTTTCCCTCTATTTTAATATATGTTCGTGGTCAAATCCATCGCACTCAAACTTACTTTGAAATACTTTTAGGATCTTATAGCAGGTGCAACTGATACCTCAACGGTGACCGTGGAATGGGCAATGTCAGAGCTTTTGAAAAAGCCAGAGATTTTGGAGAAGGCAACCGACGAGCTTGACAGAGTGATTGGAAGGGAAAGATGGGTAGAAGAGAAAGACATAGTGAATTTGGAATACATGAAAGAGATTGCAAAAGAGACGATGAGGCTGCATCCGGTGGTACCAATGTTGCTGCCCAGATTGAGTAATGAGGACTGCCAAATTGCAGGCTACGACATACCCAAAGGCACGAGGGTGCACGTGAATATGTGGACCATTGGGAGAGACCCCACAGTATGGGAGAGCCCAGATGAGTTTAATCCAGAGAGGTTCGTGGGGAAGGACATAGACGTGAAAGGCCAGGACTTCGAGCTTCTACCGTTTGGGTCTGGAAGGAGGATGTGCCCTGGGTATAGTCTCGGTCTAAAGGTTGTGATGTCGACTCTAGCCAATCTGGTGCATGGATTTACGTGGGAATTGGTTGGAGATTTGAACATGGAGGAAGTGTTTGGCCTCACAACTCCCAAGAAATTCCCACTCGAGGCTATTGCACAACCTCGCCTTCCTGCTCATCTTTACTCTGTCTGATGGACTGAGTTGGTGGTCTAAATTCAAATATGAATTTGAATGTTATGTTATAATAATTTGGTTTGAAGTTTATTGGAGTGAGCTGACAAAGACAAGAATTTTAAGGTTATATTAGTCTATTAGTGGAATGGAATCCGTCAATAGATTGATATGCATTGCGTCCAGGGCTGAGCTATATATTTGTATTCTCGAGTTGTCTCTCACTTATGTCTAATTTGTTCATCGACTTAGAGATGTCCATTTAAACTGTTAGACTGAAGCCTTGCAGGGATCCAACTCGGATAGGGCAGACAATTACTATTTAAACTAGAAATGAGAAAATTACTGTTTAGAGGCTTCTTGATAATCCTCTACCATCGATTTTACCCTACTTGAGCTTGTACGTAAAATTCAAAGAAAGCAAACATTTTTAAATCAAGCCATCCATATGGACGTTATAACTAAAAAATGTTGGTTGAAGTAAAAGTAATTTAGTTAGGAAGGAAGGTGTGTCCAAAATATAATCTTGCTCTTAAGTTAATCCAAATGAACCATGATAACAAGTTAAAAGGACAGAGAAATTCTAAAATGGACCACAATGGACCAAATCAAAATGAAAAATGAGCAAAGAAAAGAGAGTTGGGCAAGTCTATGGTCGACCACTTGTGAGTCTCGTGCCCATCGTCTCCTTAGCTCATGCAATGGTGGTTGAACCCTAATTCAACCATCTTTTACCCTAGCTCTAAAGGGAGTGGAGGAACAATAATTATATGGTATATGAACCCTCTTCTAAATTCTACTCCATCATAAATGGTATTAAATCTCACAAATTTAGTTTTTTTTTGTTGTATTAGTAGCATTTTTCTTTTATAAATATATATATAGGGTTTATATATATTTATTTATTGTTTGAGGAATTGGGCATGGAAGTGCAACAGGCACTAAAGTATTAGAAAAATATTAGTATTTGCAATTCATGGAAATTTTCATTATATGGTCCACCATTACTTTTCCTTGCGAGAATTTCTGAGAAATTATGGTACCGTAACCACCCGACTAGTTTCACACTGACATGGCCCCTGGGTTTGTCCTCTCTGTTTTGTGGTTCATAAGATTTTAAGCTGCGAGTTCCAAGAAATTAATGGGATAATATAATTATGTTGAATTGGCCTTTTTTTCAATTGAAATTGGCAAGTGCCTACCAGCCCGACAATGTCCAATGGAAATTACTGCAAATCCATGTGGAGTGGTCGTGTTTCACAAGAATTTCAGCTGA